TGCCACGCTATCTCATATACTTACCATTTTTTCTCTCGATACATTGCCGTCTTCTCCAATTTCTATTTTTCTTTTCTCACACAAAAACATTTGACATGTTCGGGCGATGACATCATTAATGTAATTTGATACAACAAAAATGCAACGTTTGTAATTTTGCAAGTTCTATTTTTTAAGAGCATTCGATATGTCACGACATGTCACAACATGTCCGGGCGATGACATCATCAATATAATTTTGATACAATTGAAACGTTGCCAAATAGTACGAAGGCAAGTCAATAAGTTTTTAGAAAAACATAGTAAAACACATTTTTTTTTATCGATCTATTTTTATTTTTCGACAGTCTCCTTTCAGCTCGATACACTCGATCCAATGATTTTCTAACTTTTTCAAGCCGTCCGAATAATATGATTTGTCCAACCCTTCAAAATAAGCCTCTGTTTCGGCGATGAGCTGCTCTCTGGTGATGAATCTCTTTCCTCCAAACCATTTCTTCAGGTTTGGAAACAGGAAATAGCAAGGGACTAAATCTGACGAATATGCTGGATGGGGAAGCAATTCGTAGCGGAATTCGCTGAATTTGGTCATCAGTGCTGGGCACGTGTAAACCCGTCTTTGCATTGTCTTGATGAAAGAGCATTTTCTTCTTCACCAAATAAGGATGTTTTTTCTTTAAAATGTTGTTGAAACGGTCCAATAAGGCTGCACAGTAATCGCCATTGATCGTTTGTTTCGACGGAAGGTAATCGATATGAATGATACCGTGTGCATCCTAAAAAACTGTGGTCTTTCTGACTTCACGGTTTTCGCCTTCTTCGGAGCTGGTTCACTCGGTGAAGTCCATTGTTTTGATTGTTCCTTCGTCTCGGGTGTGAAGTAATGGATCCATGTTTCGTCTATAGTAATGAATCGACCCAGAAATTCATTTGGATTACGTTGAAACATCTCTAAACATTGTTTTGAAATCGTCACACAGTCGCGCTTATGATTCACAGTGAGCAAACGCGGCATCCATCTTGCCGATAACTTTTTCATAACCAATTGTTCGTGCAAAATTGAAATCACTGTGCCATGTGATATGCCTCAACAAGCTTGCGCACTTTCACTCGTCGATCAGTCAAAACAATATCATGGACTTTATCGATGATTTCTGGCGTAGCAGCCTCAATTGGACGTCCCGAACGAGGTACATCATATGTGGATGTACGACTACGTTTAAATTCATTCACTCAATTGTATATACACAATACAGTCGCAAACGCTGGTGTAGATGTGGTATGAACATTATCCAACTCGGCTTTGATTTTTTTCGGCGTTAAACCTTTCATATGAAACCACGCAATGAATTCCGCTCAAAATTTGACAATAATCAACTGAAAGATGCTACTTGTCAAAAAGTAATGTGACATAACACTGCGAGTGCCCTCCGACAGATTTTCTAAGAACTTATTGATTTTGTATGTATAATGATATAAAATGTAAAGATCTAGATGCATCACGTCATTAGTCAATCAGATAACGTAAATAACAACATGGAGCGTGATTTAGCAGCAAATTGCTCAGCTGAACACCAGAGAAGAGTATATCGCATGAGAACAGTGTTGCGATATCGAACATCTGGAGGAACAGAGCCGTGTTTAACGCCCGCGATTATCGATTGATAATAGATAATCACTGATCGCACGTATCACGCGCCTCGAAAGTTTGCAGGAATCGGCGCCGATGATTCGTGCATGTGAGTGCCGATTACATCGGATTACATGGGATTCCGATGGCGCAAGATCGAAATGGTATTCGAAAGCCGTATTTTGACGGACGCGATAATAAACTCTGATCATATCGAACTTCGCAGATTCCTCGAAGACGCGAGTGAAGTTGTGATCGAGCGTGTAACAGAGCGTAAAGTTATGACTTTATCAAGATAATTGTAATTAACAGTGAATTCATAGCAGGTAAACGCGCGAATAAGAGTATTACTACCCGAAACTTTGAACTCTTTCGATGCACTGATTTGCGTGAGTGGTACGAGTGGCATATCGTCGGGTCTACCTGGCATCGCTCGAAGAATTCCAAGAATATGACAGCGGATAGACACTGTCGTGAATCCTCAACTTAACTGTCAACGTAAATAAATTAAATCCCATGCGCGCGGGATGTTACATCGAACTCTTGCGAGAAATTATGCTGAAGCCCATAATCAACGTGCAATTCATCGACAATGCATGTTTTGCCTGGTCGGTGGTCGCCACTCTATAACCGGCTGAAAGACAAGGATCGGAAATCTTCATATCCGCATTATTTTATAGTGCTAAATCTTACAAGCATTTAGTTTCCCATGATGTTAAAAGAAATTCGAAATGTCCTTTAACATCATGGGAAACGTTCGAACGCGGTGTCGATCAACGTGTACGATATCGAAAATGGACAAGTCCTTCTTCTACGGCTCACGATAATGAGAAGCACATCAACATGCTGTGCAAGATCTACGCAACGATTCGGCCACTTTGCGTGGATCAAGAATTTGTCGCGTTTCGTGAAATCGCAAATTACTAGGAACAAGAACAAGATATATTTCTGCAACCGATAAGTACATATGAAAAATTATAATTTTCTTAAAATAATAATAATGACAATAATAATAATAATAGTTACCATTTTTGTTTTTTTCAGATGTATTACTTCAGTGAAAAATTGCAGTCGCGCGGATCGCGGAAAAATGAATGATTGCGTTATCCGACTGCCGAGCGACGACGATAAGTGGTTCAAATTTGGAAACTATAACCAGGAATGAGTGCTGTTCATGTACGCGGATCTCGAGTACGTCCTGCAAAAGACGGAACCTAAGAAGGAAGATGCATCATCATACATTTATCAACAGCACGAAATGTGCATAGGATACTACATGCAATACTCGTACGACGACGCGTGATCGTTGTATCAGTTCTGTCGCGATAAAAACTGTGTAACGTGATTCGCGCGACAACTTCAAGTTTTGTCATTGGCTTCTGCAGTTGATTCGTTACAATATGTGCTGGATACAAGAATTTCGGACCTTGCACGTTTAAAATAACTAGCAGTCTATAAAAGATATCAAAGAACAATATTGTGCCTGTAGAAATGAACTAGGAGCTTTAGTATAATATAAGAGAATAGAGTTGCGGAAAATTTCGTTTGTATATTGTGAGTGAAATTGACATGAAACTATGACACCACATCTTCGCTGGTCGGCAATACGACAGGAACGATACCGGTCAGCGGTATTTGACGAAGTTCGGGTAACTCCGGCAGAACGGCCACGAGTTACATGTTAGTGATGATATGCGTATCTCGTTACAATGCGTTATGTAAAAGTCTATGTAAAAGTCGCGGCTTTTAGAATTACAATATTTACACTGATTTCATAAAATTTTATGGTGATACATACTTCCATCATAAATTTCATGGTGATTATATATGATTGCCCGGAATGATTACACGGAAATTCAAAATAATTTATGCTGATTACATGTGATTTCTAGTGATAACACATGATTTCCAATCATTGCACAGAAATCTCAAGTAATTTCTGCTGATTATTTGAGATATACATACGATTTTATTATGATTTTTAGTGATTCCACATGATTTTATTTGATTTCATAAACACATCTGATTGCAAAATGATTACATAAAAATTTCCTAAGGATTTCATGATTTTGAGAACATTATCCTATGATTATATTAAGTAATTATCCCCGTGTCACAATGTTTCTAATCATTAAATAAAATCATTTATTATCACTATACATGTGATAATTACATATGCAATTATGAGAAATCATTATGTAATCAAATGAAATCATTTATAATTAGATGAAATCATTTATAATCAAATAAAATTATTTCTAATCAGATGAAATCATTTGTAATTAGATGAAATTTGTAATCAGATGATATCATATGAAATAAAATGTAATCAGTGGGACGTCATTTCAGTTAATGATTACTCCATCGATCATGAATGTATTTAAATATCAATATAAGCCCTTTTTATTTATAACGATAGCTTGTTTTTAGAAAATTATTTTATTAAAATCTAAATAAATAAAATCTTGTAATGTTGCTCTTTTATTTTATAACTACATAAATTTTACTTATGAGAAAATACAACATCGCTGAATCCATGTGAGTCCATGTGAGTATGCTGAGTCCATAGCGACGTCGCATACTGTTCATTGATGAACTTTGAGTTTGTTGAGTACCTTTAACTTGTTAGACTCACTATAAAATTTGAAATTCCAGCAATGGAAATAATAAATTCTTCTGTCTTTCTCAGATTACTCTAAAATCAGTCTTGAAATATTTTCTTAAATTACTTTGCATTAACATTTTATACACTTTAAATTAATAAAAATTTCTTAAGTAAATTCTTAATATTCTTTAATAATCTTAATTTCATTTAAAATAAATTTTTCCAAAGAAATACCAACATAAATAGTATGTGATTATCATATTATTAGGCATTACGTGATGTTTAGGAGAAATTAATATCCTATATTTGCAAAACGAAAATCCGATAACATTTAGATATAATTCTCTCATTATGTATTTTCTTGAATTTAGCAAGAATATTCATAATTGTAAAAATTGTTAATTTTTCTTCTTCCTCCCTCAGAGTTGCGTATCTTTGACAAAGAACTTTGACGACATTAAGCATACTACCTTAAGCGAGCGTGGAGCTTTGAAGGAAGCGGCACGTTGTTTAAAATGTGTCGATGCACCTTGCCAAAAATCCTGTCCCACGCAATTGGACATCAAAGCTTTCATCACCTCGATTTCCAACAAGAATTATTATGGTGCGGCTAAAGCGATCCTATCAGACAATCCTCTCGGCCTCACCTGCGGCATGGTTTGTCCAACTAGCGATCTTTGCGTGGGTGGATGTAATCTTTATGCAACTGAGGAAGGACCTATTAACATTGGCGGGCTTCAACACTTTGCGGTGGATGTAGGCAACCTTAATTAATAACATTTATAAAATATTTAACAATAAAAATAATATATAATGTATTCTGTATAAAAAATTTCGAAATTGAAACTGATATACCAAATATTTTCTTTAGTTTTTCTTTAATTTTTAAAAATAATAAGATAGGCAATAAGATGGAGTTATATTTATATATAATTTAGTTTTGATTAAATAATAAACGAAATTTTTTACATATAATAATTAATTCGTTCTTTTTCAGATTTTCAAAAAAATGAATATTCCTCAGACCAAAAAACTCAATCAAACGGTACCTCATGCAAACACGAAAATCGCCCTGCTCGGTTGCGGACCAGCTTCTCTTTCGTGTGCGTCATTTCTTGCTCGACTCGGTTATGATGATATCACGATCTTCGAGAAAGAAAAGTATGTCGGCGGATTAAGTTCTTCCGAAATACCACAATATAGACTGCCATATGATGTTATTAGTTTTGAAGTGGATCTCGTTAGGGATTTAGGGATAAAAATCGAATTAGGGAGGTCACTGTCTGAAAATGATTTAACAATACAGGTAAAGTTAACTTAAAAATAAAAATTTATTTTTAAGCTCTTTATCATTATCTTTTAATACTTAACTTTAAGATATTGTTCTACAAAAGTTTGTTATTAACACATTACTAATCAATGTGAAAATGTTTCAGAGTCTTCAAAATGCTGGATACAAAGCTATTTTTTTAGGTATCGGATTACCTGAGCCGAAGAGCATTTCGATCTTTGAAAATCTCACGCCGGAAATGGGCTTCTTTACCTCAAAGAATTTTTTGCCCATTGTTGCGAAAGGCAGTAAGCCGGGTATGTGCGCTTGCAAGAATAATCAAGAACTTCCGTCTCTTTGGGGCAACGTGATCGTTCTCGGTGCGGGGGATACCGCTTTTGATTGCGCCACTTCCGCTCTGCGATGTGGTGCTAGAAAAGTCTTCGTTGTTTTTCGGAAAGGCTTCACCAACGTACGGGCAGTTCCAGAAGAGGTAATCGTTCATCATTTGCAAAAAACTCTTCTTTTCATTTAATCTCTAATCTTTCTAAATCTGAAAATAATTAGAAAGAAGAAACTTATTTTAATATTATTAGGTGTTGGAATTAATTCGTAGCGTTTTACAAGTGATGGGAAGTACTTTCATTAATGTATTTTTTAATGCTCATGTGAATTAACATTTCTTTTAAGTTCAAATGTTTAGAATTAAAGTTTGATAAAGATTTTTTAAATTTGATAACGTTTCTAAAATTATTTCTCAGATGGATTTGGCAAAGGAAGAAAAGTGTGAGTTTATACCTTTTCAATCTCCGAAACAAGTCATTCTTCACAATGAGAGGATCGTCGCGATCGAATTTTGCAGGACTGAACAAAATGAGAATGGTGAATGGATAGAAGACGAAGAGCAAAAGATCGTTTTGAAGGCGGATTTCGTAATTTCGGCTTTTGGTTCAGGATTGTACGACTTTTCTGGTGAGTAATATTGCTTCGATTTAAATAAAAATTTATGAACTACAGTATTCGGGAAAAAATTTTTCATGCATGAATATATAATATATATGTATAAATATACATAAACATGTATAAATATTTATAAATGTATATAATTATATATGAAATATTATGTCCATACATCCTTTCTTTTGTAAAATGACTTTTTATAAAGTAATTTTTCTAAGAAATATTGAACATATTTCATATATAATTGTATATGTTTTTGTATTATATATTTATACATATATTTATATAATAATAATAGCAGTATAGTAGCAGTAACAACAGTAGTAGTAGTAGTAGTAGTAGTCATAGTTGTAGTAGTAGTAGTAGTAGTAGCAGCAGCAGCAGCAGCAGCAGCAGTCGTGATAGTAGGAGTAGTAGTAGTAGTAGTAGCAGCAGCAGCAGCAGCAGCAGGAGCAGTAGGGGTAGGAGGAGTAGTAGTAGTAGTAGTAGTAATAGTAGTAGTAGTAGTAGTCATAGTTGTAGTAGTAGTAGTAGTAGCAGCAGCAGCAGCAGCAGCAGCAGCAGCAGTCGTGATAGTAGGAGTAGTAGTAGTAGTAGTAATAGTAGTAGTAGTAGTAGTAATAGTAGTAGTAGTAGTAGTAATAGTAGTAGTAGTAGTAGTCATAGTTGTAGTAGTAGTAGTAGTAGCAGCAGCAGCAGCAGCAGGAGCAGTAGGGGTAGGAGGAGTAGTAGTAGTAGTAGTAATAGTAGTAGTAGTAGTAGTAGTAATAGTAGTAGTAGTAGTAGTCATAGTTGTAGTAGTAGTAGTAGTAGCAGCAGCAGCAGCAGCAGTCGTGATAGTAGGAGTAGTAGTAGTAGTAGTAGCAGCAGCAGCAGCAGCAGTAGTGGTAGTAGTAGTAATAGTAGTAGTAGTAGTAGTCATAGTTGTAGTAGTAGTAGTAGTAGGAGGAGTAGTAGTAGTAGTAGTAGTCATAGTTGTAGTAGTAGTAGTAGTAGCAGCAGCAGCAGCAGCAGTCGTGATAGTAGGAGTAGTAGTAGTAGTAGTAATAGTAGTAGTAGTAGTAGTCATAGTTGTAGTAGTAGTAGTAGTAGTCATAGTTGTAGTAGTAGTAGTAGTAGGAGGAGTAGTAGTAGTAGTAGTAGTAGTAGTAGTAGTAGTAAGAACAGATAGGATTATAAATAGTCAATGATTTAGCCATATCAAGTTCCTGTCACTTCCCGTTTGTTTTCGAAGTTTAGCAGTCTAGCCTAGTCCTATACCACGTATTAGGCCTATAAGACTGCTCATTTTCTTATCTTTTAGATATCTTTTAGATTTTCAAGCTTAACGAATATGTAATCCCAAGATCTTTTTACGGGCGAGCAGAGGGTAATGGCACAGGATGTGTAGACTGTCCTCGCTCTGCTCTTCACACTACTGACAATTTTTTTGAACTCGGCGAGTTCAAGATTGTATAAATGTGCTTTAAGAAATATATCCTGTGAGGAGGCCTATGTCTATTTTCAATTTGTTTCTTTCCATAGCTATCAGTTATTTCATTCTGTCTTGTTTGGGATTTATAATTCATTAGTTATTGTTTTGACTGTCGGCTTTTCAAGAATTCTAGTGCTCCTGTGCCAGCCAATCTTTTATGTGTCTTTTGCCCATAGAAAAGGGGACTCCGACGATTTGTTTATTTGGGTCCACTTTGGTCAGCCAGTCACTTTCTCATTTTCGGGTACACTTTCATGTTCAGGAAACCATATTAGGGTAATTTTATTTGTTTCCCCTAGTTTTGCTAGAGTTTGCATGCATTTCCATACTATAAATGATTCTATATATGTATATAGATCTTAGCAAGTGTTTCTATCCAAGCTATGCAATAACGAGGCTATCCTACTATCTGCAGATATATGTAAGTATAGTACTTATTTCTTTTATTCAGTAGGATTTCTGCACACTTCAGGATAGCCAGGTTCTCAATTTGAAAATCTCTGGCTAGTTCATTGGTATGCTTTTTCATTAGGTTTTAGGCTTATATGTATATATATATCTTGAAACTAACGTGGTTCTAATATTAACACATATAAAAAATAAGAGCATAAAAAACCACAGCACAAGTTATAGTTTGTGATATTTAATTATTATTACATTAATTAAAACATTAAACGTTTCGGCTACAATCTGGCCATCTTCAGTAATTCAATAATATTCTTAAAACGCAGAGTTACATCTAGTTGACATTAAATTCGACAGTCGAGAGTTGTAATTAAATAAATGTTCTTTTATATGTGAAGATGCTTCATACAGTAATGTTACAATGCCAATTGTCATATCAAGAAAAGTGTAGAACAAGAATTTCCAGATTCTATTAGGTGTTGGAATTAATTCGTAGCGTTTTACAAGTGATGGGAAGTACTTTCATTAATGTATTTTTTAATGCTCATGTGAAATAAATAACATTCTTTCATTAAAAACGCTACGAATTAATTCCAACACCTAATA